TATATATATATATACACACACCATAACACATTTCCGCAGGAAGTCGGAGGCATTAGCCGTGACACGCACCCTCGCGTGTCTTACTTATTCACGTCGAAACATAGAGGATGAATTCACGCGAATTTCCAGGCAGGAATTTCCAAATGTTTGAAATGGAAATCCTTGACCTTTGGAAAAGTCAACGTATTGTTGTTCTGAACGTTCCTTCATTTCTCTCATAGCAATGTGCAATACCCTTTCTACTTGAGCGATGACAACAAACTTTTTTAGCATTGCTAATTTTGCAGTAACCTGCCTGCACTTTAGATATTGTGCAATTTGTCATAAATGATTTGTCATAAATTCGTTTGCGAACAGATGGCGAGAATATTTATGCATGAAATACGGAGGCCTTTTGCGGATTAATGCACGATCAACCATCGGAATCTTATTAAGTGATTAAATTCAACTTGGCCTTACTTCTACTGAATTAAAATTCGAGCTGACTGATTAAAACATTTATGTCTGTTCTGAAATAAGATTTTAAGAATGAATTGTAAAAAAGAAAGAGAAAGAAAAACTAACAAATAAGTAATGTAATAAAACAATTTTCTTTAGTTCTTTAATTTCTATATTTGTTAGTGTCTGAATTATTAAAAATGTTATTTGTTTGTAGTAATGACGAGTTGACACAATTCTTCTCAATTCTTTCAATCGACGTATGTATTCAAAGTGTCTGCATTGTCTAAAAATTGTATATCTAATTTATCCGGAACATAGCAGACATTGACTTTTAATAATCAAAGTTACCGATGGTGCAACATGAAATACCATACGTCTGTCTTACTCATCGATTCACCCGCGTTTGTCGACAGTATGTCGGTTCGCCATAATTGATAATAAAGCGTTGCGCCAATGCGAGCACGACGACTTTGTCATATCAATATTAAGTCGACTGCGAGAACGACATCAGTCTCCCCCACTAATTAATGTGACATTCTCCGGCGAGCAATAGGCAGCGGCTGCGGCTGTGCAACATGTGCAAGTACGCTTCAACGGTCGTGGTTCCACTCTAGAGCGAAGCCACGAAGCAAAGCATATATGGCAAGCAGACAAAATCATAATACTAATATCACGCGAAAGAAGGAGCAGGAGAGAGAGAGAGAGAGAGAGAGAGAGAGAGAGAGAGAGAGAGAGAGAGAGAGGAGAGAGAGAGAGAGAGATATCGGGAACGCGTCTAATTTTAGATAAACGTCTCACGACATCCGTTTCCTACACGCGCGCAAACACCAGGAACACGTACATGCCAGCCGTTTTCCGCCAGTGTAGGGTACTCATACGAGATTAAGGATACGGATCCCGCGAGTGTAGTTAAAAATAAAGCACAGTCTGTCTTTTACCTCAAACGAGCAAGCGAGCAAGCGAGCAAGCGAGCAAGAGTGAGAGATTTCAGGACAAATTTTGTTATCCCTCCATGAGATCCAGTGTTTATGTCGGTTCTGGATATAGTCAACTCTCATGATAATCCTTCAAAGAAAAACAGAGAGTAATCAGAAGCGTCTAGATACTTGATAATATCCTTGAATTGTATTTACTGCAAATGATTTTAAACTGATTTGATTTCTCGTAATCGTTACAACTAATTGAATTTTTAGACAATTGCCCATCTCTTTATAGCTCTGCTTTCAGAAGCAAATGAATAATCAGTTAAACCTCGTTAACACGTTAACACGTTAACTGTCAGTGGTCAGTCAACTTTTCAACGTTGATAAGATTATAACATTGACCCAAATTTCGAGAAATGTTTGAAAATAATTTGAATTTAGGCTTAAGTTGTATTTAAATTTAAACTGAAATATTTATGACAATTATTTGACTAGCGGATAAAATTCAATTCGTAATCAAATATTCAAGAAAAATATTTAGCAAAAAATTATTTATAAAATAAATATTTATATAATATTCGTGCATCGCGGGACAATTGAAATGCTTGTTATTAATCTGCAATGAACGATATTTGCCTGTGACATACTCGTACGTGACATCCACGTGAGCCGATCAGGCGATAATCGACCCTCCAATGCAGAATCTTTTCTCATTGGTGAAATAGGGAAGGGATTTATTTAATATTCATCCGTTTCATCAACGCAATGTCGTTGATCGCAAAAGCAAATTCGATAGTGCGTGCATGTACACGGTACAGATGGCTTATGGCGATCGATATTAGAATCAACTCATCAAATTCATTGACTCTTATGTCTCGTTACTGTCTCGGCACGTCAACTTGCGTTGTATAAAAACTCGCGACAGCATTTAGTAGATTCGAAATTCGCGCGAACGAACGACGAGACGCGCGAGAGGGAGGAAAAGACGAAAGGTACGACGCGGTACAAACGGATGAGAGAGAAACTCGAATTTCCTGCAACCCTGCAACGTTCTCGCTAACTTCTTTTATCTTCTTTTATCACCCCTCTCTTCCCACCGTTATCGTAACATTCGGGGATGGGAAACGCCGCGCTATCCTACGACAATGTACGATGGCACGAGCCAAGTCGAGGGGTCGGCACCGTGCACGCATTTCAGGATACGTAGTTACGTGTACGGGTATAGGGGTGGGTCGGGTATTCAACTACGACTACGCGATGCCAGGTGGTGACTGCCGCCCCATGTGTGCTCATATGTCTGCCCCCCCAAGTGGCGTTACTTTGCCACTGGCTGGCGCGATATATGAGCTAAGTGTGTGTGTGTGTGTGTATGACAAAAGGAACGTGAATTCGTCACGCTATGCGCCTTCGTCAGCACCGACGCGATTCCTCGGTTAACCGCCTTGATGGGCGTGATCCTTGCCTGGCTATATTTTTAATATGGCTTATGCAGCTCTATTCGCACGTACAATAACCGTGCGTAAAGGATATCATCAGAAATTCCAAATTATATGATCGTAAACTGTTCCGTTTCTCTTTCCTTTCATTTACGACCAAAGATCAAAAGATCTACCTACATTTCATTCGTAACATCACCGCGAATTAGTTTACACATATTTTATAAAACGTACCAATTCGACTCATAAAAATGTACACAATATATGTACAGAACCATCGTACGCATCGCACGTGGTCTAAATGAAAATGAAAAATATCTCGTAGAAGAAATATCATGCAAGATATGTCGCCTATGTGTTACCGAGGGTCGTGCTCGACTATCCGATATCGATTGGCGGAACCAACCGGTCCAACCGGCGCGTGTCACGGTTACAGCGACCGCGTTTATGAATTCGCCCGACGCGAGCGATACGCGTGCGTGCACGCGTGTAATTGCATCTAGAGAAAAGGGGAAGATCACGT